ATATTTACTGAGATATCTTTTAATCATAGAACAGAATGTTCAAATCTGTTAAGCTTGCGTTAACCACAGAGCTTATTTAAAAAACCCATTGTTTTAAAGGGCACCGTAAGTGTAAAAACGCTGACTCATTTCCTGTTTTTTGGACTCATTTCTGCAGGATTCTGTTACACACAAGGATTATGCTAAATCCAATGCTAACGCCAGACAATGCCCTTATTTTGTCACTTGTTTACTCTTTTTAAGGAACAGTGTGTAGCATTTATGGGGATCTATTGCCAGAAATGGAATACGATTTAGTTAAGTATGTTTTCTTCAGTGTATAATCACCTGAAAATAGGAATCGTGTTTTTGTTACCTCAAAATGAGTTGTTTATATCTACCTACGGAGCGGGTCCTCTTCAGAAATCCGGCCGCCATGTTTCTACAGTAGCCTAGAATGGACAAACCAAACACTGGCTCTAGTTAGGGCCACCGTAGTTCTCTTACCTGCCTGATACATGGGTGCAATTTCAGTTGGTTGCACACTGCAACCCTCACCGCTAGATGTCTCCAAATCCTGCACACTGCCCTTTTCAATAAAGAACAGAAGTAGTTGGAGTCTTATACCCACCAAGCCTTTGGCATAGGAAACACTTTAGATGGATGTGTTGGAAAAGCAGTCTCTAGTTAGTGAAATAAAGTACGTTTTTCAATAATTGATGATATATTTGAGTTAAAACAGTTAACACAAATCTCATAATATTGTCACCTGCTGTGGCGTCTCTTCAGGGGATATCTAGACCTTTAAATTAAATGAAAACTCAACTCTTAAAGACTTTTATTTTTACAGTTGTCAAGCCTCATCGTGTGCATGTATTATAACTACAGTAGTGCCTTCTTACAGATTATGAAAGCGCACTAGTACGATTTATTTTTTATTTATAAATCATGTCTGATGTAGTGTGTGCCTCTGAGATGACAACAGGGCCGCTCTCACCTGTAACTGACCACCCACCGGATGTAAATGGTCTCCTATGCCTGTCAGCTTATGTTATCCACAATGCCTCTCAAACGCTATACAGCGCAGCCCACCACATCAAGTCTCCGGGGATGTAGTAGAGCCTGATAATGATGGCCTACGTGTGTTTTAAATAGTGTGGCAGATCCACTTTTATTTTGTCTCTCTCCGGCTGCTGCTTTCCGAGCCTCTGCAGTAGGCCTACAAAAACTGTAGTCTGTAATCCCCCCCCCCCCCACGGCAATATTCGGGGAAAAAACCCATCTAACCGTTAAAAGTCCAAGCATGTTCACCATCACCGCGGAGGACGAGTTGATGGAAAGGCACGTGGCTCGATTGATCGACGCGGAATGTTTTATCGGCAGATTGGAAGTCTACCAGTGTGAGCGCGTGCATGTGACGCGTCTCAAGCAGCTCTGGTTATTCTATTGGTGGCTCGTGCCATTTGGCGGCCTTCTGTGATCAATGCTCTTTGTAAATGTTAAGTGGGATATGACTGACATGATCGGGCTCAACTCAGAGCCCGCTGTATGCACAATAACCGGATTGTGTGTGTGTGTGTGTGTGTGTGTGTGTGTGTGTTTGCGCATGTAAGTGCCCTCTCATAGACAACTGGGAAAACAGGAGCCATATATACGCATCAGGAGGCCTCAGATGTCTGACCCAAACGGTGCTTAACCTTACCCTAAAAACCATCTGCACGGCCTGCTCGGTGTTCACGCATGTGTGTCATTTCACCGGCGGTTAGTCACGTTGGCGGTAAATTACTGGGATACAAGCAATGCACACATGTGGGTGTTTTGTGTGGCCGTTCAGGGCCACTCATCCATGTTTTCTCCGGTGCCGCACATGTTATTGTAATTGCTGTGTGAGTGCTGTAATAGGCACACCGGAGAGCATATAAATTCATGTGTCAACTTAAACGGTTTACTTTTGTTCTATTGTGCGGCGAGTATATGATCCACTCTTGACACCCTCCATTTGAACGTTTGTAATTGGGGGCTGTTAATGACGGTGGAGATGTGGATGCGATAGCCGCTCCCGATCAGACAGTTTGCAGCCTCGGATGCTCCCTCCATGCTGTTATTTTGGTTTATTTGCCTGTAGCCCTTCTCGGGGATTCATTTTTAATGCGAGGTACACTAAAATGCGGAGCAGCGGATCATCTCTATCTGCAGGAGTGCATTAACTTAGCCAGTGTGTGGGTGTGTGTGTGTGTGTGTGTGTGTGTGCGTGCGTCTGTGCTATTCATTTCGTGTTTACTTGCGTTTTATTTTATGGAGTGATGAAAGTAAATTGTGTATTATTAGGAGAGGGCATGCGCTGCATGTAGTGTGCTGCAAGAATTACTGCGCGTTGTGTGTGTATCTTCCTGTCCATCAGGGTGTTGTATGGAGGCATATTTGAATTGTTACTATGGAAACCGAGCACTGCCGTTGTACAGAAACACATATCCAAATGGGCCTCTGTCTCACCCTCCTCCCTCGTTCGCTGTCACACTTCTTGCATTATTTTAAAAAGATTCTTCTCTAATAGTTTCCCCCGGTGTCTCCTCTCTGTAGATTCACCAGCCCTTTAGCAGAATATCCTTCCTTTTTTTTTCTTCCCTCAACACACTGTGTATTGGGATCATTTCCTTCTTCATTGCTTAGTTTTCCTGCTCCCTCCTTGAGATTTCCTTGACCTCCTCCCCACCCTTGACTCTTCTTTTAGCGTCCTGTGCTAATCATGGCCTCTTTTCATCTTTCTGTCGTCAGCCGTGTTGCACTTCCACACCTCCCTCCCTCCCTCCTCTGGGTTTCTTATTGCTGTTCCTTCCTCCACCTCCATCTCTTTTGTGTATGTCTCTATTTATTCTCTCCCTCGCCCCACTTCTCTCTCCTCTTCTCTCTGCTGCCTTCCTCCCACTCGTTTCCTCCTCCTCCTCTCTCTCTCTCTCTCTCTCTCTCTCTCTCTCTCTCTCTCTCTCTCGAAAATTCAGCTAGTTTACAATTAGTACGTGCACCTGCAATTGAGCCTGACAAACCTCTGGTAATTAGACCTTTCAGAAAAACGTTTTTTATTTTGAGTGTGTGGAGATCAAACTCACTGCTCGGGCCTCTTCTCCCTCTGCTCGCCCTGTTGCACACATTACTCCTCGCTCTCTGCCGCTGTTTTTCTACCTCTTTCAGATTTCAGTTCTCACAACTTCTCTCTTCTTTGTTTTCTTTGGAGCTAGCTTTTCCCTCTGCCCTTCGTTTATCCCTCTCCTAAAGTGCTCCTCCGTGCTTCATTGATAATATGAGCATGAACATATACTAAATTAAGATTCCACGTCTTTATCTATCTGGAAAATATGCCCAAATTTGTCCCCCCCCCCCATACACGCGCACGCATACACGCATTTTCACATCAGGCTATGACTAATTGTGTTTCCCCTGCCTGCCACCTCCCTCTGCTTACATGTTTCACTCCGCCTCTCCCTTTTTTCCCTCCATCATTTCTCCTCTGAACTCTACTCCACCGTCCGCTAATAAAGGGGCAGTAGATAATAGCAATAATAGCAAATAATAGGTCTGCAGTTGACTTCAAACAGCGAAAGGGATCTCAGAGCGTTGGAGGGAGCAACGGAACGAAAACAAGTTTGGAGGTTAAAGAGGAGAAAAGCAATGAAAGGAGTGTGGGAGGGAGAGAGGGGGAGAGACAAAAAGGAGAGAGAGAGAGAGAATCAGTCGAGCCCGGTCTGAGTATGTAATGGTCACTTAGCCTGGCGGCTAGTCCATGAAGCTGTGAGGCTGTCAATCTGTCAAAATGCACCCAGTGCTGTCCTGACGCTCTCAAAACACACACACACGCACGCACGCACACACACACACACACACACACACACACACTCTATCTCTTTCCTGCTCTGTCTTTGATGTGTGCCACAGGGTTCCTGCAAGGAAGTCACGGCCCAGTGTAATGGATGTGGCGTTGTCACTGCTGCATGAGAGCTTACATAGAGCTTCTGAGCTCTCTCAGTGTGAGGTTTGATACCCAGCTATATGGGTCACTTGGTTTGTCAATAAGGGGTTGTCAGTGTCATCATATTAACATGAAGCAAACAGCGAGAACATTTTTTTTCAAAGCTGGTGAAACATGATCTACCCAATGTCACCCACATATTCAGATGGGAAGAAAAATGATTGAATACATTCTTGTTATACAGTTTTTGTTTGATATAGCAGTTAATATTCCACAATTCTGGACGTATAGAAAAACTACCAGATGTATGTTTTGAATGGCCACACAATAGCCTTTATTTGGAATAACTTAAATAAAATAAACATTATAATACAAATGCCATCCCGCTTGCGTCTTTTGAGACTTTGAAGGCAGGGATAGAATAGACTGTGGCATATGCGACCATTTTTGGTCCCAGAGAGCAAGCGCACTAACGTTTCCTTTAACCGCCGCCTCTAGTCCATCCTCGGCCTCTGCCATAGACTGTATATATTATGGACATGGTTTCCGTGACGTCACCCATACTCTTCTGAAGAGCTATTGTGAAGGTGAAATTTGTCGGCTCTAGCGGTCGCCATCTTGGCGGTGATGACACAGCCTTCCGCTTGTTCAGCAAAATGTGGCTGTTAGTGCATTTAGTAACTTTCAGGAACAAATAACTTTAAAAGGCTTTGTACTAGTTGATTAATTAACCTCAAGAAAATATCCACTGATTTACAGACATCTCTTTTTGGGTATACTGGGTACATTTGGGTATACCGACCCGGGACGGTGGTTGACTCCAATATCAAACCACATTTTTATGCTTAACCAACCCTAGTTCGTGCTCTCTGGTGAACAAACTGTGATACTTTTTCTAAGTGACTGCAATTCCTTGTTATTTATCAGCCGACATATAATACAATATTATATGCATATATCTCTGATATGCTAATGTTGGCAGATATAGAGACTCTTACTTTTACACTTTATCCTTGTTTATAATCTCTCATGACTCTATTTCCCTCTCTCCCTCCAGGGACGGCATTCACACTCCTCCACAATGCTTGTCAGCCTCCACCTTCCTCCCTCCCATCTTCAGGACAAGCGCTTCGTCTCCCCCTCCTCCTCCCCCCATCATCCTCCTCCTCCCCCAGACCCGTCCTCTCACCTTCCTTATTCTCGGCCTCGGCTGACTCCGCCCTTCCTCTCCTTGTCCTTCTCTCTGCTCCTCCTCTCCATGCTCCTCCTGCCCGTCTGCGAGTCTCGCAGGGGCGGAGGTCCAGGTACGGGGCCTGGAGGTGCCCCAGGGGGACAAGGTGGCCAGAGGGGAGGCGGCACCCAGAGGGGCGTCGTCATCCCTCCTCAATACTCTCCCGCCTTACCGGTTCTTCCCCCAATCAATCCCAAACTGATCAACTCCCTCAGTATAGCTGTCATCCTGGTGGGCAACTCTAGTGACGTAGCCCTGGGGGCTGGACTTGAGAAAGAGGACTTCCTCCACATCCCTTACCCTCCCAAAGTCGAGTTGGTCACCATGAATGAGACCGACCCAAAGAGCATCATCAATCGGATCTGCGCACAAATGACAAGGAACTCTCTGCAAGGTGTAGTGTTCGGAGATGACACGGACCAGGAGGCCATCGCTCAGATCCTGGACTTCATATCTGCCCAGACACACATTCCCATCCTGGGCATCAGGGGAGGCTCCTCCATGGTCATGGCTGCCAAGGTAGGAAAAAAAATACTAATGAACTGTGAACTGTTCATTAACGATTTGACCACCCTGCACGATAATCAGGGCAAATTATTGGCGGTGAATAGTGAAGTGGGAATAGATAAGTTGTTGCTTCTTCATCCAGCAATGTGATTTGATTATTCTAAAATAGCACCTTGGTGAGCCTATGGATTCAATTCAACATCCACCGTCAAGAACCTGCAAATAAGAGTCATTACAAAAGTTTTATTTTGTTTTTTTTAGCATGAGCTTCTTGGTTCATTTAAGATAATAAGGAAAACAAGGGAAACACTTTATTTTTTAAGATGCATCAGCCTCCCACCACTCAGTGCTGCCTCCCATTCTATTCCAGCCTCTCTGCTGATTGATGTCGCTGTTAATTGACCTCCTCTGTGAGCCTGACGTCATATTGAAGCTCCTCACAGCGAGTCGACTCAACTCTGAAAGGACTGCCAGCGTGAGACAAAAGACCGCATAACAAGTCAAAAAAACACATCTCTGTGGGAACGGGGATAAAAGAGATTTGGCACAAACCAAGCTACACAAGGAGAATCCATGATCCAGAAATGGAACAATAGCTTTGAAATGTATCCTTAAATAATGTCGTTAATAGGCTTAGCAACGTTTAAGTCCCACGGAAGAATGACAGAATCCATACGACGCTGAGGTTGGGGTTTTATTAGCTTGTCGATGCAGGCTACCATTTGTAGAAAATGGGACATGCAATAGAAATCCTCTGCAGTTGTGATGTTGGTGTAATACCATCGGTAATGTATTATATATTAAGTGCTGTTTGATTGATATTGGTTGCGTAGGTCCAACATATTTGAGTTTGACATTTTTTTATTGACATTATGGAATAGTGGTTTGGCAAATTAAATCTTATTATTATCTGATTAGCTTTTTCCAGAACTTTCAGCCCCAACTCATGGTCTTTATATGCGCATGGAATTTGTTAAACCTCCAAGTGGGAAAAGTAGTATGTTTTTCGTCGGCGTGAGTGAACGAGACATAAAGCTTGCAGTTTTTCACTACTAATCCAAAACCGGTCCAAAATAAGCCGTGGAGGAACAACCTTCAAAACTTTTGGAACAACTACATTATAATTCATTACCGAAAACAAAGGATACATTGGCTTTCATTATGATGCATTCAAGCTCTTCTCAGTAAGAAGCAGAATGGAACAATTATACTGCTATCATGTTGTGTTTAAATGTAATCCGGGAAAATGTAGTTTTTTTGCGAGAAACTTGAACAGATACAGATGTTTGAAGGAGATGTTTTCACAGCAATATAAAATCTATATTAGAGAGAGTAACACGACGTGTTTCATTTACTAACACTAGGTTGAAAAAAATAGTTTTATTTAGTAATCAGATAATTGTTATAGATTACAATAACAAAATGAATTTAGAATTCATGACGGTTTACACTGACTGCGGGATGGTTGATATTATTTCTGGGTAAAAATAAATGTTAGTCTGGAGCCTTGCTTTCAAGGCTTCAAAGACTTTGTTCTTAAAAAAGAAAATTGGAATCAGCAAAAATCTGAGTCGGCAGGGCATGCTTTTACAAAAACGGAAATCAGATTTGGTCAAGAAAATTGCAATGGGTGCATTTATTTTCTTTTTTTTAAAGTTAGGAAGTGTATTGTGAGTAAAGATGTTTTTGTCAAGCATTTCTGCAGTTAGAGACTGATGAAGAGTTAAAAAGATATATTGAAATTGAATTGAAATGTTATTATAGTCGTCATATACATTAGGTACATGTATATAATATGAAATATAACTTCTGTATTCAACCCATCCCTAGCTTATTGGGAGCAGTGGGCTGCTGAGTGGCAATAGCACTGATTCAAAAACGAGTATCAGATACCATGCTGCAAAATAATACAAATTAAGATTACATATGGTAAGTAGTCAGCAGGACAATGAAAAAGAATGTCTGAAAACCACCATGAGCCACCTCAGGGCCAGGACAGGGGCCAAAAAAGGAGCGAGGCCAGGACCACAGGTGCTTTTTATATGCTGGCACTGATTGGGGGCTGCGTTCACAACCCTACACTTTCTTCCCTGGGGAGCGTTCCCGACTACACTTTGTATGATTAAAACACTTTAGGTGTTTGTCTAGTGACCATGGTTCATGTGCTATGGAGGACTTTGTGTTATCATGAGAAGTTTATTGTTGTTTGAAGGCATTCTAGCTCCAGCACAAACTAAACAATACATGGTAGAAACTTAATTCTCACACCGCAGTTTCCTCCTGTGGAGAATCTGATATGATTGTGGACAACCTTGCTGCATAAATCTGCATGACAATCAGACAAAGTGATTTCTTGAAATTACCCCAGTTAAAGGCTTCACATTAATGCCATTTGTGTGCAACGTGAAGACACGTTCCATAACAAACATATTTACCAATGTCATTAGCTCACTGAATGCCCTAATTAAGAAAACGGGTTGTGTTGGATAAATTGCAGCAATTATGATGGATCACAAACAACAGACAGACAGTTTTAATCTGGAATCTGACAACCAGCTTTACTTGTTGCTCCAATGAACATTTATATCAAGGGAAAGGGAAGAGAAATAATCTAATAAAAGCTCCAATTCAAAGAGAATTACGTTAATGTCCCCACAGCAAGGCAATACCTCCAGTGTTCAGAAACACTCTTAATGACTGTACAGCCTGTCTTCATCTTCTATAAAAGACCGTTGCATATGAAAATCCAATTGTGGACTTGTTGGAGGAGATATGATCGGATAAGAATAACGGAGTGATTTTACTGTTGAGATAAAAAAAGAAAGGAACACGAGAATAAAAGAGGGGGGGGGGGGGGGGGTTATGAAATAACTTGTGTGGGTGTGAAGGAGGAAGAGGCATTTGCTCAACATTTAATTACCACATTTTACAGCTGACAGAGAGACAGAGGGCACAAACTGAGAGTGACAAGAAGCAAAGTGTAGATGAGAGTTTAACTCATCAAACTGAGCAATTTCAACAAATTTACTCTCAGAACAGAAGATGTTGTAAAAATAATCTCTCAAATCTGCATACTGGTTAATTTAGAAATGTTTCTGGTGGTGCGGCTGAACCCCCGTTAACCAGCACATGTGACGAGTGACATTTTAAATCCTTATTACAAACCACTTTGCCATCACTTTTCCATGGATCTGACACCACGCATCTCCGTTCTCCATGAGCCCGCCTCACACAACTCAGCTCTGAGCTCCTTAAGAGTAGATAACGTTGTGGATAGGGCTGTATCCTCTTTTCCTTTCTCAGGCTATGATTGAGGTTTTCGGATGAAGCTGTTGTCAAATTTCATGATGTCCTTACCCTTAAAGAATAGGAAAAATAGTTGTTTTTTTTTGTCACTGTAAGTTATGGTGCTGTTAGATTGCTGCTAGATCGCCTTGTGAAGACAGGTGCGTGCCTCTCTTTGTGTGCGGCGAGCGGGACAGAAAACGTTTGTCCGCAGTGAACATCTTGTTTTTTTTAAAAAGGATGGATGCCAATGAAAAACATTGCTTTTTGGTAATGATTACATCCGTGATTTTTAAACAAATGTGGACCGAGGACTGAGCGCTGCATCGCTCGATCTGTTTGAAACAGAGAGGGGGGGGGGGGAGGGAAGGTGGACTATTAGTAATGTTTCAGCAAGTTAGTAATCATAACAATTCGAATCGGTGTTATGAATGAAGCTTCGAACTATTCTGTACAGCCATAGTTATGGATATGATTTGGATGATCATATTAAAGATAGGATAATAATGTTACAAAGAATGGACATGGACTTTTAAAAGAAATGCTTACATATTTTAAATAAAAGGTTCACACTCCTTTATGAATTACAGAAAGCTTAGCCTAATTAAAGATTCTGTTTTTTTCAACCTGAGCCTCGCCGCCGCTCCCTGGCGATCGTCGATCTCAAGTGCCCACGATTGGACGATATAAAAACAGAGATGATCGCCGACCCCGGCTGAGGCACAGCAGCACATAAGCAAAAAGAGATGTGTGTATATGTGGAGGGGGAGGCTGCATTAGACATCATTTGATGGTTAACACAGTTCTTGAGTAAATGTGTGTGGACACGGTCTGCATGGCAAGCACCTGCTTATATTTCTCTCTACATACTGAATAAAAAAAGCGGTGACAGAGGGCGAGAGACGAGAAATGATTATTTCGTAGTCTGACAAAAGCAGTGCTACGTGAGAAAAGGGTTTAAAAGCCCTAGTCATGGAAGGATGGGGGGAGGGGGAGGTGTTCAATAGATGAATGAATAGATTAAAGCGTAAAAACAGAGGTGGAAACACAGGGGAAGAGGATCAAAAACAGGGTGGTGAGGCTGAGAGGGAGCGATGAAGAGGGACATTGTATTTCACTGTGGTGAAGTAGGGACTTTTAGTGCCACTGTCGCTGTCTCTATGCGTTCTTTAATGTTTTATTTATAGATTTTCAGTCACGCCAACCAAGAACAACATCAAAACCCTTCACCTGATATCCATATTCACACCTATTAAAGTTTAAAATGATGATACAATACTAGAGCTGGTTATTTGATTAATTAGTTACTTACTTTTTTTGGGGGGGGGGTTAAAATGTCCCAAATTCAAGCTCTTTAAATGCTATTTGCTCTTTTTTTGAAAGTCTTCTACATTAGTTGATTGAATCATTTTGGACACGTGGATTAACAAATTAAGCATTTTTAAGACTTCACCTTGGGCTCTATTATATTCTAATTTAACTTCTTTCCAAACTATTAATTGACTGATCAAGAAAATAACCTATAGTCATGGCAGGGAGATGCATGTTGTGTGTGCAATAGAGCGTGAGTGATTTTCCAGCACCAATAACCCAATTCCCTTCAGGTTGCCAAGTCCATCCCTTATCAGTCCACAGTTATGTCCAATCTATTGTGCTGTGTGCTGAAGTCCTTCTATGGGGGGCAAACCACTTGATTTATTCATATCTTGTCAAGGAGTCATTTGATT